TCCAACCTATATATAGTAGGATATCCCTGTCCCACCTCCTATATCGCTCATCAATTAGAACCCTCTGCGGCTAGAACAAAGAAAATTGTAAATACCCAGTCAGACGAACACACAAGCGTAGCCTAGCATGTAATGCACGATGTTCCCAGTAGTTGTTGCGGTTGGTCGAACTTGATAAGACTGTTCATCTCTGGGCTATGTAAGTAAACATAGTCAGCGAAACAATCACAAACCTACAGTAGAGCTCATTTAGTAGTGGAACTAAGCAAGATGCAGCCGTTCAACGATTCTACTATGTAAGTTTTGCCAGTTTTGTCCCTGACCAGTCGGATCACCCGGCTGCCGCCTGGTGCTCCTCCTTCTTTTCACGGCCCGGCTTCGCGTGGCAGTTATTTTTTATTGAAATGAAAAATGTGTTGAAAAAAGCTCAACATCAGTCATTATCTACCAACATCTGGTCCTCTTGCTTACTACAGACTTTCAACGGTGAGAAGGCTGCACCATATCATTACCGCAGTTGCGACATCAGAATGGTTAAAGTTGAATTAGTCCGGATGAGTCCTTAACACCCGGAAGAGGCATAACTGCGGAGTCATGGGTGGCACTGTACTTGTACATGTCGAAGTGTGTGTCGCAGTGACCATGAGAGCTCGAATGTTATCACCGACAGGACGTCCCCACTCCCGAATGTTGGTTTCCCTCCTTATTTTACTTCATTTGCGACCGCCACCACCTAACACATCACATAGTAGGCAGATTTGCGAAATTTTTTTCGATTGATGAATTCCCTGATTTTCCCGTTTCAGCCGCGCTATACACCCCCCCCCCGCTCGACACCATTTTCTAGTGTTATCAGGAAAGTGACGACTAAAGGAAAGAGCTCACACATTGAGCCTCTAATACTCAGCATTGTAGCGATAAGAGGTGAAAAAATGTAGCGCAGATCTTACATCGTATCATCATACATCGTATCTTATCTGTTTTTATCGATTGATAAGATTATCTGTCACCCGTCATCAATGTCCTCATCACTAAATCTCTATGATTTGGTAGCGTGAACCACCTTGAACAGCGACGACGACTGCAACGTCCCTTATCAGCCCCTATCAGTAGTTATCGCTTCCAGTCACCCACGCCACACTCGCTCT